ATTTTTGTATTTTTAGTAGAGACGAGGTTTCACCATGTTGGCCAGGATGGTCTCGATCTCCTAACCTCGTGATCCGCCTGCCTCAGGCTCCCAAAGTGCTGGGGTTACAGGTGTTAACCACCACGCCCGGCCCATGCTTATGTTTATTCATACTGCTCTCAGCTTTGCCGAGGGGATGATCTGGAGAGGGGGATTCACTTGGTTTGAACTGTTCCCGCTGCAAAGAAATTCTCTCCCTCACACTTGCCTTGTCCACGTCTGGGTTAAGATTCTGCCCATCTGTCCGGGACTGGTAAAAACACTGCCTGTTCCCGAGGAAGCCCCGTAACCAACCTCTCCCCAGATGTCTAATCCCTCGCTTGCGATTCCAGCAGAGGGCTCAGCATCTCGTCCACAGCCAGCCAGTGTCCTGCCAGTCTCGGGAGGCACTTGGCAGCATGAGTACGTCCTTCGCCCCTGTGTCTACGGACCCGGCCTCCCCGCCCAGCATGGATTGAAGCCGGGCTAAGGCGTTGATCCCAATGGGCTGTCTTCAGGGGTTTGGGACAGGCTTGACCCTTCACCCCAGCGTTCTGTGCAAACGTCTTCATCAGGAGTGCACTTGGGAGGTCCTACACTAGCACAGAGGTGGGCAGCCAATGGATCTGTGAACTCGAATGCAGTGCTCAGTGGCATTTGGAGGCGAGTCTAGTACCCAAGAGGATGAAACCCTTTGAAGGATCTGATGGAAACAAGAAATGAAGAGGGTATTTTGTCTTGTTTTGTTTTGTTTGTTTGTTTTATGAGACAGAGTCTTGCTCTGTTGCCCAGGCTGGATGGAGTGCAGTGGTGCAATCTCAGCTCACTGTGGCCTCTGCCTCCTGGGTTCCAGCGATTCTCGTGCCTCAGCCTCCCAAGTAGCAGGCATTACAGGCATGCACTACCACACCCTGGCTAATCTTTGTATTTTTAGTAGAGACGGGGTTTCACCATGTTGGCCAGGCTGGTTTCAAACTCCTGACCTCAAGTGATCCTCCTGCCTCTGCCTCCCAAAATGCTGGGATTACAGGTGCGTGCCACCACATCCAGCTAATGTTCGCCAGGCTGGTTTCAAACTCCTGACCTCAAGTGATCCTCCTGCCTCTGCCTCCCAAAATGCTGGGATTACAGGCGTGAGCCACGGTGCCTGGCCAAGAAATGAAGAGATTTTACTACCTGAACCTTACAACTGTACCTGAAAAATCACCAAGAAGACTGACCAGCAAATGAAAACCTGGAGAAAAAAATTGCAACAAAGGATAGGTGTTTATCTACGTATCCGTCTTACAGAGTGAAAAAGAGGCACGCGTTCATAGAAAGTGAATATAAAGCTTGCATAGAAATAGTCTGACCTGTTCAGTTTAAAGAAATGTAATACTGACCACAAGGTCTCTTTCTCTTTCCATTTTTATGGCCAAAAATTCCAAGCCTGCGGGTAGGAATTCCAGTCCTTATCGATATAATCGATACACTGGAAAACAATTGATGTGAGTAAAAGTCTTCAAATATTTTTGGTTTTCAGTCAGCAACGTCCACTTCTAAGAATTTAAACGAAGAGAATGATAAAAATATTGTCACAAACATTCATGAACAACGGTGATCATCACAGCTGTTATTTATAATTATGAACACTTGCAGGAAAGCAAAATTATAGCAGTAGGGGTTTGGAAATGATTTAGTTGTTGAGATCGTAATTCTCCCTGGTACA